CGGCTCAGTGTCCTCTGTAGGCACGCCATCCTCCCCGCTACTTGTCTGGGCCACTTCCTCTCAGGCCGGCAGCCAGGCTCCCGTGTGCTCCTTGGAGCTGAGCAGGGAGGAAGGCGCTGCCAAGACCCCAAGGCAGAGCTGGGAAGCAGAGATGCTGGCCTCTCCTTCTCCTGTCCTTGGCCAGCACAGGAAGAGCAAAGAGGAGGCCTGAGGGAGTAAGGACCAAGGAGGAGTCCCTAGACAGCTGGCCTGCTCTGAGTCTCCAGTCTGAGCCGCTCCTGTGCAACTCCTGGTTTCCATCAGGAAAAAGGAGGAAATGGTAAATGAGATGTCAGAAGCACCTTGAGTCAACCCACTTGGCTAGAGGGCATGCATCCAAAGAGCAGCCACTCAAATGTTTATTAAGGACATTTGCTGTGCTCTGTCTGAATCAATGTCTGATGGTTTGATTAACCAACCAGTGGATGTGGGCAGGGAGGGGTGGGCCAGAGATAACAACAGAAGAAGCTTTAGCGCTGGCCTTGCACGTCCCTTCCTGCATTCCTTTAGGACATTTTTCATGACCATCTACTGTGCACAGGCACTGCACCTCCTGGGGAAGCCAGAATCCTGCACTCTAGTGCGGGAAGAGAACAGGGAACAAGGGAGCCCCAGCAGATCCACCCTCCCAGAGAACGAGGAATGCTGAGAGGGCAGCTGAGGCCAGGGGCTGCAAGGACACAGGGAAGCCCTCTCAGAGACAGAGACAAAACCCTCCCTAAGAAGGGAGTTGTGTGGCTGTGGGGGCTGGGGTTCCCTGCAGAAGAAGAGGGATGATGAGGCCCAGGTGGTGGGTGGCCCCTTTTTGGATTCTCTTGAAGCTGCCTCCCAGAGTAAGGCCAGGTGGGAGCTGGCCATGTGTCCTTCCTCCTTTGCCTTCCCTCCTTTCCCTGGTGCCCTCTCAGGCTCAGTCCGCAGCCTGTTCTCACACTAAGAGTGGAAAATGTGAGACCGGATCTGGCCAGGACGGCAGCCAGCAGCCCTCTTTGGTAGTGGTTGGCAGTGACCCTGCTCCACCAGGGTTTTATGCTGTGCAGTATCTTCTGCCTACCAGGAGGGGAGCCCTTGAGCCCAGGGCATTCAGGGTCCCACACTCCATCCTCTCTCCATGGCTAGATTGGCTTCTCTGTCCACCAGGTGGCTCACACCTGTAATCATAGCACTCTGGGAGGCGGAGGCAGGCGGATTGCTTGAGCTCAGGAATTTGAGACCTGCCTGAGCAAGAGTGAGACCCGGATTCTACTAGAAAGAGAAAAACTAGCTGGGCATTGTGGCGGGTGCCTGTAGTCCCAGCTACAAAGCAACTCCTTGAGACAGGAGTTTGAGGTTGCTATGAGCTAGGACACTATGGCCCTCTAGCTGGGGCAACAGAATGAGACATTGTCTCAAAAAAAAAAAAAAAAATAGACTGGTTTCTCTCTCAACACAATGTACAACGGGACTTTCTCTCCAGGGGATCTTGACAGGCTTTAGCTAAATCTTCAGGTAAGAGCCTGGATCCCCTGCTTTCAGAACCCCTAAATTCTCCAGACATGTAACGTTTCAAACCCAGCTGTGCTATTTGCTTGCTTTGTGACCTTGGGTAAGTCACTTACTCTCTGTAGCCCTGGTTTCCTTGTCTGTAAAATAGGGATAATGATGTAGTAATCCCTTGCAGTCAAGTTTATGTAAGAGCCATGTATAAGAGGTCCTGCCCTCCTTCTCCCAGAGGATTTGGTTAAATAGCAAAATGTCCAAAAGTTGAGGGTCGGTGACTCCGGAGACTTCCAGAAAGCAGGAGAGGCAGAAGCAGTGTGGACTGGGGTGGGGAGAGGCTACTGAGAGGAAGACACTGGCAGCAACAGATGGACAGAGCAGCAGGTATTTATTCTGTCTGTCCTGACACTAAACACCCTCACCCCGCCCCACCCATCTCTCTGCTTATTCAGAGCCTGGGAGCCAATTGGGCCAGAAGCCGGTACCAGCAGGTGGGATGTAGCTGGCCATGGATCGTGGACAGAGAAGGGAAGATGAGGCCAGGACTGGACCTAGAACAGCTGGGGGAGGGACAGTGGAGGGCTGAGAGGGCCAGACCCTAGTCCTTCTGTTTTCCCCCACCCTGACCCTCCAACCCCAAGGGCTTGTTATTGAGGGCATAGCCCTGGCACTTCTGGGCACCCCCACGTCTGCTTCAGAGGGGCAGGAAGGTCTTTATGCCCCTGTCCCCAACATCCCCCACACCCCACCTTTTGTCCCAGCCTTGTGAAAGAGGGCACTTTATTTCCAGAAAGGAAGCTGATAGTGTCCACTGAACCCACCTGGCCAGGCCCTCAGTGCTGGTCCAGGATGAGGGGCACCTGGGCGCTGTCCACACGGGGCGGCAGCCGCTCGCCTGTGCGCACGTTGAACATGGGCAGGGTGGAGCGTGGCCGGGGCACTTCACGGTTGCCTGCCATCTGTCGCAGCTCCTCTGTATTCCCATGGATGGTGCAGTGGTGAACCATCTGGATGCTGGAGGCACAAGGTCAAGGGGCCATCAGTTCTAGGAATTGGTCACCCCAGGGTCCAGCCTAGCACGACTTAAGAGTCATCCCCCAGTCCTCCCTACCAGTCAAACACAGGATGAGGGCCCATTTAGTGCCCAGGGATTGAGGCATGGGCTCTGAGTGCAAACAGCCTGGATTCAAAGCTGTGTGTCCTCAACAAGTTGCTTAACTACTCTGTGCCTCAGTTTCCCCAGCTGCACAATGGGGATAATAATACCTACCTCCTAGCATTGCTGTGAAGATGAAATGAGAAAATGTGGCTCGATGCTTAGAACAGTGGCCAGCACTTGGTACGTGCTTGTGTGATACCAAGACATGAATACATATCCACAGTGGATATATTTTTCCAGAATCCAGTGTTTCCCAGGCGTTATTCTGTATTCTGGTTTTATATTCTGGAGACCCTCTGGGTCCCTTCTTGTACTCAGCTCCCTCCCTCAATACTTTCTCCAACCACAGAGCATCTAACCCTTCTCCCTCCTCTCCATTCTCTCTGTTGAACTGGCAAACCTCCCTTCCTTCTACTTTTCCTCACCCCCAAGGTTTGCCCAAGCTATCTGTCTCCCCTTCCAGGGATACCTCCCCACATCCTACCAGGCCTTGAGCATCTCATCTTCCGCTCTTCAGGCCTTTCCTCCACTCTCTTTGTACCTTGACCCCTTCCTAGCTCCACCCCAGCACACCCTCAGCACTAACCAGCTCCCACAGTCTTGTCTCCCTAGGCTTGGTTCAGACCAGCGCTCCTCTGCTGGACACTGAACTCCACCCTCAGATTTTCCAAGGGGCTGGAAATCCCAGCAGTACTGAGGGGTCGCAGCCACCTGAAAGTCCTTTCTGTGTGCTAGCTCCAGTTCCTCCCCAGGTGGCTGCCCTTTTCTCTTTTGCCATTCCCAGGGATTTCCTTTCTTTTTTCCAGGGGCAAGCTTTAGTTCATTCTGACAGGCAGGGTAGCACAGTAGTTAAACATGAAGACTTGTTTTGAGTTTGAATCTGGGTTTCACTGCTTCCCGGCTGTGTGACCTTGGGAAAATTACTTAACCTCTCTGTGCCTCAGTTTCCTCAACTGCAATACAGCTGTTGTATGAATTAAATGATTTAATATAGAAAAGGTTTTTTGGGTTCTTTTTTGAGACAGAGTCCCACTATGTCGCCCTAGTGCCATGGTGTCACAGCTCACAGCAACCTCCAACTCTTGGGATTAAGTAATGCTCTTCCCTCAGCCTCCCAAGTAGCTGGGACTACAGGCGCCCACCACAACGCCCAGCTATTTTTTAGTTGGAGTTGTCATTATTGTTTGGCAGGCCCAGGCTGGATTCGAACCCTCCAGCCTTAGTCTGTGTACCCTAGCTGCTGAGCTAGGAGCTGAGCCCGGAAAAGCACTTAGAATGTCTTCTGATCAAGCTTGTAGCAAGTGGTAGTTATTATTATAGGGAGCTTTCAGTTGCCATTATCATCTTCAGTGTTATTTTACTACAGCAAGCCCACTGGTGAACTTGGCCTCTAGTGGAAGATGTTTCCAAGCCCCTTATACTTGAACCATATTAGTTGTCCCAGCCTGGTGACATTTTCCCAGACTACCTGGCTGCCAAGTCAGACAGAGCTGGGACTTTTCATTATAAACAACAAAATTGGGTTTTCTTAGAGGGGCTGGGGCCCAAAGTAGGGCTGAATGGGCCCCACTTGTCACTCAGTTATTGTGGTCCCCACTCATGTCCAGGTCTCAGTTGGTGGATACAGACTCCACTTAGAGACTGACCAACCAGTCTGATTACAGAAAAGATTTCCCAGCTTCACACTGAATAGGCCACACTCCTCCTTGGAGTGGGTGGGACCTAGTCCTGTCTGGCCAGTGGGAAGAGGTGGAGTCATTGTCTCGAGCGGGGGAGGGTCACAATGAGCTCTTGAGTCTGGAATTTGGCAAGCTGGGTTGTCCAAAACACAATTTTCCATTCCCAGGCAAGGGAAGACTAAGGGAAAATACAGAAACTAGTGTGTAGACACTGATGGAGACAGCCAGGCAGGTGATGCCCCAGCGGGGAAGGGTCTTAGTCACTATGCCCCCTCCTCATCCCCCCAGCCCCACATCTCTGGGGTCTCATTACTCTGGTAAGGCACAGGTGGAAAAGTGTTCTGGGGATGTTGTTCTAGAGGAAGAGCCAAAGCCAGGCCCTTCAGTACCTTCCCCAGTCCTTCCACATCAACACTTAAGCAGCCTGATGAATACACAGGCCTTCCCACACATGCGCCTGCACACGCGTGGTCCACGTCTCACTCACACCCAGTCTACCACCAACATGTGGCCAGACCAACACTGAGTCTGGCACACAGACCCACAGGAGAGGGTTATCCAGGCCTGGAGAAGTCTGTGACCAGTAAAATCTGATCCAGGTGAAAACCAGGCTGCAGAATCACAACTTGTGGATAAATGTTTAAAATGGTAGAGATTAAACCATCTGAAAAAATAGGTTTTTGGGCTCGGCGCCAATCACAACTTGTGGATAAATGTTTAAAATGGTAGAGATTAAACCATCTGAAAAAATAGGATTTTGGGCTCGGCGCCCGTAGCACAGTGGTTACAGCGCCAGCCACATGTACTGAGGCTGGTGGGTTCAAGCCCAGCCCAGGCCAGCTAAACAACAATGGCAACTGCAACCAAAAAAATAGCCAGACGTTGTGGCAGGCGCCTGTACTCCCAGCTACTTGGGAGGCTGAGGCAAGAGAATCGCTTAATCCCAAGAGTTTGAGGTAGCTCTGAGCTGTGATGCCACAGCACTCTACCAAGGGTGACATAGAAAGACTCTGTCAAGAAAGAAAGGAAGGAAGGACTGGCTGGATTTTGTAGAAATAAATCAACACAAAATCCAAACCAACTAAGGCCAACATTGCAAATGGTAAAATTGATTATCGATTGACAGAGGAAGCGGATTTTCTTGATAACATCTGAGCTACAGAATTGACGCGGGGCCCTATCAGACACAAGAGAATAATCACCACAGCAATAGATACAATTGATTAAATTTGGACCATCCCCTCCCCCCAAAAAAGTGAGGAATCAACTTGCGAAATTTACACAAAAAATCTCTGATCCCAATGGGGAGGAACTCTATAAAATAAATATGAAAAAAGAAAATAATAAGAAAACATTTTAACTGCTTTGTACAGAAAGTTGCTCAAGGATTTAAATCAACTTTAACATAGATCAAGGAGTCATATCTCTGTTCACTCTAGAAAACATATACTGTACAAAAATCCATAAAATGGTGATAGCTATACTTCTGATGTATAAAATGTTTGTATTCCTCAACCCCAAACCCAATGGGTGGACATGGTGGGGTCAAAATGGTGGGTTTAAAACTGTGAGCCCAGAATACCCTGAAATTGACTAGAGCACGTGCATGTATGAGCGTGAACACACTGCGTGAGCGACCCATCTGACCCACAGCCACAGTGCTTCTTCCCAGGACACCTCCCAAATCACACCCCACACCCTCTGGCATCTCTTGTCCACCCCTCCCAGGAAGAAACAATGGGGCCACTGTGACCTCTGCAAGATTCTGATGGCCTCACAATGTCCCTCTGAGGTCACTGCAGAGATAACCTTACCATCCCCTGCACCTACAGTACAAGTCTGCTGAGGCCACCGTGGGTGAACCTCCTTGGTCCTCCCTCTGGCCACCCAGGGGAAGGTCTAGGCCAGAGCTCTACGAGGAAACCTCTGAGGGAACCAGGAACAGGGACGCATCTCACCCACCCACTGAGGAGCAGCTCAGGGGATTTCCAGCTGCCATCCTGGAGGTCCTCACACCCGACTCCCTTCACCTGCCTCAGGGAGAGATGCAGAAAGACGCTTCACAGCTGCCTGCATCTGTACCCTTGGCCTCAAACACTTCTCTGGGTGGAGGCCGGGAGGCCACTGTGGCAGGGGTCTCTAGCAAGAATGAGACTGAGAGCCTCACTTCTTCCAAATCCCACAAGAAGCCCACCATGTCCAAGGTGATCCTGAAGATTGTGACAGACAAGGGAGCACGCAACCGTGTGTCCCTGGCCACCCTGAAGAAGACTGTTGCCACCATGGGCTACAACGTGTCACACAGCACCTATCACTTCAAGCGTGCACTCAAGGGGCTGGTGGACAAGGGCATGCTCCAGCAGGTGACTGGCAAGGGGGCCTCAGGCTCCTTCCGCCTGGGCAAGAAGGGCTCCAAGTCCAAGCTCAAGGTCAAGAGAAGGCAGCAGCGTCGGCAGAGGGCTGGGCGTCGCCGCATCGGGCAGCGCAGCACTGGGTACCGCCGTTCTGGACAGCGCCGCTCTGGACAGCGCAGGTCGCTATTGGGCTCCAAACGGGGGCACAAGCGGCTTTTCAAGAGGGCTCGTAGAGTGGCCAAAGGCCGCTACAATTAACAAGGCAGGCCAGGCAAGTGGTCAGGGCGCCAGGCCCGCCATAGGCTCAGTGCAGTGGAAATAAAAGGAGCCTAACTTATTTCACACCTGCCTCCTGGAATCTGGGGTTCAGGGGAGTTGGAGAAGAAGGGGAATGGGGTGCGAGGGAGGGGTAAGGCCATGGGTAGGGGAATCCTTGGGCAAAATAAGAGTGAGATGGATCTGGGAAGGGCTGGTAGAATTGGAAGCAGCCATAGACACAGCTAGTCCAACCACATCACCCTGCAGATGGAGGATCTGAGGCCAGAGAGAATGATGGAGTAATTTGTGTGGCAGAGCCTGGCCTGGACCCCAGATGTCTGACTCAGTGGGGTGAGTGTGTGTGTGTGTGTGTGTGTGTGTGTACACGTTGGAGCTTCTAAAGTTAATTCTCAAACTCTTTCCCACAAGGTGGCATCAAGTCCCCTTCCCCTCTGATACAAAAATCTTTTCTATGGGGACCAATAAATAAGAAATCAAGGTCAGGATAGGTCAGGCCCAACCATCCCAGGGCTAAGGCTCAGCAGTCAAGGGTAGCTCATATTCCCAGAGTAATCTGCTTTGTCTGTGCTGCCTATGGGGATTGGTGGGCCTAATTTAGCGATCTAAGCAACTCCCACCCAGTGCCCATCTCCCTTACTCACTCAGAAGTGGCCAGGTCTCTCTTCAGCCTGTGGAAGAGAAAGGGGAGGGTTAGCCCAGCTCTGGGTTTTACCCAAGGTGCCCCAGGGCTCAGATGTGAGATTACTCACAATCTCCTTCTGGTACCAGGACAAGTGGGTCCTACATAACCAGGAAGGGGCCCCACACTCCTTTTTGCCTGAGAACATCACTCCCTGAGGGTCTAGGTCCCCATGCAGTGTAAGTAACCAGACATCTCCTGGGTCTGAGCATCAGCAGGCACCTCCCCCACCCTCTGTCCAAACACACACCGTCCCTCCCGCCGGCAGCACATGA